GCCTCACTCAGCCAGTGAGCGGGAGCCGGTCTGTATGTGGGATCCGAACCCTCGGACGGGAAGGCCGCCGCGCTTCCCAAGCGGCGCACTATCCAGTGCGCCACTGGGCCGGCCCTATACCCATTTTACAGATGAGAAAACAGAGGCTCAGAGAAGCTAAGTGCCCTGCCAAGACCACACAGCTTGCATGTGGTAGAGCTAGAATTTGGCTCTAAGTCTGTCAATGTGCTCTTGCTCCCTGAGCGTGAGCTGGGCAAGACTTACCAGGACAGATGAGGCCAGCTCTTCCATCTTTCTGCAATAGGGTCTCCAGGGTGGGACCTGGGAGTTTGAGTCAAGGTTGCCCTATAGCCTGTCTCCCATCTTCAGTTCCTTCTGTTGTTGGGTGAGTTCAGTAGTCCCTGCTTTACTGGCTGGTTTTCCAGGTCAGATGAGATCTTGTTTCATAAAGGGGCTTTTAAAAATCCAAGGTACTTAGGAGTCTGCCATGCTGTGTGTGTACCTAAGAGAGCATGAGCTCTGGGTTCTTGCCTTGGGTTGGGCCAGTTACTTCATCCCTCTGTACCCTGCTTCCTCATCTGCATGGAACTGGGTGGTTGTGGAGACTGTGTGTGTGTACGTGTGTATTTATGCATTCCCACCAGATTCATCCCTGGGGAGAAAAATGCATTTATGGCTGGCTGGATGGAAGAATAGTTGGCCAGCTGTGATAATTTAGAGTACCATTCAGCAAATATTCACTTCTTTCCCCCTCCCACTCTGGGTAGAGTTTACAGTCTTGTCCTTTAGAAAGTCTGGGTTACTTGACTTGCTTTGGCCAATGGAATGTTAAGTGTGTGGTTTGAGATGATTCCCTGAATGTGTTTGTGCAGTCTGGTTTGGCTCTTATAATCTAATGATCTGTTGTAAAAGGAGCATGCCCCAGGGAGCATCCCCTTCAGCCTGGGCCCTGAAACAGGGAGATATGTGGAGCAGACTTGAACTTGACCTCTTAGTGAAGCCCAACTTAGACTTACAGTCCCAGGAGCATGAGGATAAATGCTAGCTGCTGTAAACCATGGTATTTGGGGAAGATTTGTTACACAGCATTATTGTGGCACTAGCTGGCTGATACACAGGCCAATGTCACACCTCAAGATTCCCATCGTACGACAGACTACAATAGAATTCAGAACTGTTTTGACGGCAGTGTGATGCAGTAATTCTCAAATTCTTTATTGGCATAAATAATTCAGACATTGGATTCTCACTAAACATTGCACTAAACACAAGAAACAATAGGCTTGCCGGCTTGGAGGCTCACAAACTGTCCAACAGCCCAAGTTAGAAATACTTTTTTGAGAAGTGTAGAAAACTTTATAAATGATTCTGTACAAATATACACAGTGGACCCTCCATCCATCTGGCCTTCCTTTCCTGGATGGCATCTGAATTGAATGTTCTTTCCCAGGAATGAGACATTGGCAACGAGTGAGAGAGAGAGAGAGACAGCGACCCAGACAGACAGAGATAGAAAGGGAGAGGAGAGGAAAGAAGTGACTGCAAAAGGAAAACATGAAACCAATTTCTTACATCAACTCATTCTGCAACAGTCAGCACAGACAGACATGAGGAGAAAACAGTATGGACCATCGGTCCGTGTTGGTCTGTACAAGAATTAGTTTTTATATATATAATATATATGTATAATATTTATAGGTATATATACTTTGTGTATAGAAAAAGGTAACAGCATAATTTACATAGAGAGAAAGCCTTTTTACAGTTGAGGAATTTTCCTAAGGTCAATAACTTTGAGAGTAATCAACCGAGTGAATCATGCGATAGGTCTGTGGAGTGGACCCCAGTGCAAGATCAAAGCTTAGGGAGCGAGGAAAGGGAGGCTTGGGGTGGAATATCAACTGCCTGCATTTGGGAAGTTCTCAGCCTGGCCCTGCCATAGTCCAGGGCACTTGTCTGGTGTGACCAGCCTTGTCTGCCCCAGGGAACCCCTGGAATATCAACTGCCTGCATTTGGGAAGTTCTCAGCCTGGCCCTGCCATAGTCCAGGGCACTCGTCTGGTGTGACCAGCCTTGTCTGCCCCAGGGAACCCCTTTGGCCTCTGCCTTGGGGCCTACAGGAAGAACATCCTGCCTCTGTGAAGCGGGGTGGCTGGTCTTGCCAGAGACTCCCCAGCTTCCTAAGATTGAGCCTCTGCCTTACAGATGCCAACCCCTACAGCAGTGAGGGGGGGAGGGTGCCCTGATAAGACTTGGGCACTCCTCCCCATGTTCACCAGGGCACCAGCATCTGCGTGAATGGGTAACACCCACCACCACTTCTCTATTCCAGCCTCCCAAGTTTTTCAGGAACATCCCCCTAGAGGCGGAATCCCAGGGGATGTTCAGTTGGGAGACTGAGAAGAGAAGCTATGTTTATTGAGCACCTACTGTCTGCCAAGTATTGTGTGACGCTATTGGACATTCATTATTTCATTTACTCCCTCTAACAATCTTGAGGGTTAGCGATATATTAAGTGCTAGTGGGCTGCACCAAGCCAGGAAAATCCAAGGAATACTCTGGGGGAAGTGCTGACGCTGAGAAGTCACTGGTGAGATCATTGTACACAATAG